TATGGGCGTGTGTGCGTGTGTGCGGGCGTACGTATGTGTGCGCGGGCGTGGGTGCGTGTGTGCAGGCGTGCGTATGTGAGTGTGCGCGGGCGTACGTACGTGTGTGCGGGCGTGGGTGCGTATGTGCGGGCGTGCGTATGTGCGTGTGTGCGGGCGTACGTACGTGTGTGCGGGCGTGGGTGCGTGTGTGCGGGCGTACGTACGTGTGTGCGGGCGTGTGTGCGTGTGTGCGTGTGTGCGGGTGTGCGTATGTGCGCACGCACGCACGCACGCACGCACGCCCGCGCGCTCTCTCCCCTCTATCCCTTCTCTCTCCTACTCTCTCTCACATTACCTCCCCTTCTCTCCCTCTTCTCTCTCTCTCTCACACACATTCTCTCCCTCTTCTCCTTATCTCTCACATTCTCTCCCCCCTTTTCTCTCTCTCTCACTCTCATATCCTCTCCCATTCTCAATCTCACGTTCTCGCCTCCTTCTCTCCCGCTCTCACATTCTCGGAATTCAAGGAGGGGTGACAAACAGGTGGGGGGTCTGGGGGTCCTCCCAACAGAATTTTTTTTAAATGTAGATCGCAGGAGATGGTATTTGAGGCACTTTTGAGTACATGTACAGCCTTCATTCTGACTACGACAATTCTCTTTTAGTAGATTTTTTCCCCCTTAAAAATCTAGGGGGCAGCTGCCCCTTGCCCCCCCCCCGGGCTACGGCCTAGTTATCTATAATTAGCTTACCTTGTCGTGTAGACTGCGTTCGTTGTCGTATGAGATCCAATCGTCCCCCTTTGACATGTAGGGCACATCTTGTACGGGATCAAACCTAATCTTATACGCTTGATCCTGCATCTTTTGGCATACCTGCAAAAAATATATATTACCAAGAGCTAATAAGACATGTGTTATTAACTCTTGGTATTACGAATATCATCGTTTGTCGTCAATTCAATAAAGAGGCAGTCTCGTCGTAAGAGCTTATAAACACTTGTTATGTGCGTGCGTGCCGTGTCCATGTGCGTGTGTGTATGTGTTGTGTGTTGTGTGTTGTGTGTGTGTGTGTTGTGTGTGTGTGTTGTGTGTGGGGGGGGGGGGGGTGTACGTGTGTGTGTGGGCCTTCGTGTATGCGAGTGGGCGCTTGTATGTGTGCGCGTTGGTGTGTGTATGTGTGCGCTTGGGCATGTGCATGTGTGCGCGTGGGTGTGAGTGGGCGTGTGCATGTGTGCGCGTGGGCGTGCGTGGGCGTGTGTATGTGTGCGCGTGTGTATGTGTGCGCGTGGGCGTGCGTGGGCGTGTGTATGTGTGCGCGTGGGCGTGCGTGGGTGTTTGCATGTGTGCGCGTGGGCGTGTGCATGTGTGCCCGTGGGCGTGCGTGGGCATGTGTGCGCGTGAGCGTGTGTATGTGTGAGCGTGGGCGTGCGTTGGCGTGTGTATGTGTCACGCGGCGTGACGCCCACGTGATGACATGTCACGCAGCGTGACGTTCACGTGATCTGCTTACCTCGTAGTACGCCAGCACGCCGGCCTCACGCGTGTACGTGCCCGGCTTACACGCCTTGGCACCGCGTCGCAGTTTCGCTCCCACCGCCGGCTTCTCGGCTGCCTCCAGTTGCGAACACCGCCCGTACAAACTCAGCCCCACGACGAACTTGTCCTGCGGCATTCCCTCGTGCAGCCACTTGCGCACGGACCATTTCTGCAATCGTGTTACCGCACGCAGTTGTGTAAGCATCTTATCGTTGAAGACGAGCGGTGATGTGTAGAATAGTCTTGTTGTGCTGATGATGGGAAAGGGAGGGAGAGAGAGAGAGACAGGGAGAGCGCGAAAGAGAGGGATAGAGAGAGAGAGAGAGAGAGAG